CAGAGAGAGAGAGAGAGAGAAAAAGGGGGTAGTTAGTGCTTTCTTCTGTCTGTTGCTGTATATATTTATATTGTTTTTTAATTTATTTATTTATATTTAATATATTTTGTTTAAAATATACAAAAAAAACAGAAAGAAGAGATACAGTGCAGCACCGGGCAGCGGCTGCGGCGCGCTGGGTAGATCAAGGGGCGGTGAGGGAGCAGCAGCAGCAGCAGCAGTTTAGGGGTTTCTGTGTTTTTTCTGCTGCATTTTGCATGAATTTATTTAACTTAAACTGAAAAAAATAAAATAAAAAAACAAAATCAATGTTTTTATATCTCCTTCATCGGTCGATTGGGTTACCCAGCACAGACAGACCGAGCCGACCGCTGGTGCGCTGCAGCAGCAGCTTGGGGTGTATGCGCAGCTGCAGATACACCCCGTTGTGTTTTTCTTTTTATTTATTTCACTTTTATTTATACTTCTTATGCACACTTTCTCAAGCTTCTCACTCCCCTCGCTGTAATCTTCTTACCCCTAGAGCAGCGCAGGCAACAGTGTGTGTGGGGCTGCGGCCTACACATACTGCAGCAGCAGCAGCAGCAGCAGCAGCAGCAGCAGCAGCAGCAGCCGGCTGCAGCAGCAGCGGCAGCAGCAACAGCAGCAGTAGCATTATCATCTTTATTTCAGGTTTATGTAAGAACAAATCTTTGTATTTTAATTATTATTTATTTTCTGGTGTATGTACAGCTACTCTCTATTTTCTTTTGTTTCTTCCTTCGGCCCCCCCTCCCCCTTTTATATTTATATTTTATATAAATTCTTATCTATGCTGAAAGCCGTTAAAATATAATAAAATAAAACAACTAAAGGGGTCGCCGCGGATGCATGCTGTGCTGCTGTTGCTGCTGCTGCTGCTGCTGCTGCTGCTGCTGTTGCTGCTGCTGCTGCTGCTGCTGCTGCTGCTGCTGTTGTTGCTGCTGCGTGCGGGTGTTGTTTCTTTTCTGTCTTTCTTAACAAAAAAAACACACACAGCTCTGTCTCCACCGCAGCCCTCAACCACATAAATTTTTTTATAAAAAAATATAAATTTTTTTATAAAAAAAAATAAAATTTTTTATAAAAAAAAGTAAAATTTTTATTAAAATATCTGCAACAATAAACACTGACACACACAAACATAAATATTTCCGCTGTAACTAATATATCTGTATATCATACAAAATATATATATATACACAAAAAAAAAA